CAGTAAGGAATTTATTTTTCTAATCATGTTTTAAATGTTTGTAATGTATGTAACTGGAAGCAATTGGAAACTGGAGCATAGTACATTGTTGGGGTTGCCACCTTATATCTTAGTTTGGGCAGTCAAATGGGACTGTTACTACAATACATGTGAGAAAAATCTTTCTTTTTGGGAAGAGGACTAATGCAAACTGTTATCATGCAGTAAGGAATAGCTGGCTCATTTTTATGGTAACCCGTATTCAAAACTGAGAGAAATTTGTTCCTGGATCTGTATTGTGTTAAAAGCATCATTCCAAAGATGGCTTTTCATGCTGCAAAATGATTTCACATAGATCTACTCTGTTTCTGCCACAGAACAACTTTAATTGGTACAGCTGCTCAAATGGTACAGCATGCTAGGCAAAAAGTAGATAGGTATGGGTTAAATTGAAATGTTTGGTCCTTTTTTCATTATTCACATATTTTTAACAATGTTATATAGACTAAACAAATAAAACCAGATTTGTCAAAAACTGGATGGTTTTAGGTACAACAGTTGTCAGTAAATTTTTGAGGGTGCAGGAAGAAGTGAATTCTGCTGTTGCTTTAAGAAGTTCCAAAACCAGAGGTATTAACATCCATCTGTAAAGTCTCTTGAGCTGTGAAAATACTACTTGTCTCCTTAGCTCCTCTTGACATCAAGATTCATTTAAAAGTATATGCTTTGTAGATATATAGGAATGCATATATATCAGATTTCAGTATGTATGTGATACCAATATTTCCAAGGTACCATTCACTCACACTAGTGAATGTTTAATAGAGTTCAAAGTATTTGTTTAATGAAATAATTCTGAAAGGCAGATGAAGTGTAAATCTTACTAACTTTCACTTTCTACTGTTTCTGTGTTTAATATTTTGGTTTCACTCTGGGTAGTGCATTGGAAGTTAGCTTAGTACTCACTGGAAATCAAAAGAGAAAGTAGGAGAGAAGGTAGAAACAGTGCTTTCTACAAAACACTGGTGAAAAACTGTCTGATGCACCTCTATCTTAAACTGTCTTGGTTTTCATAAACCCATTGAGAAAGATACTAGAAGTATGAAAGCTATGCAAGGAGGAACAGTAAGGTTTGTCAGATGTATGGGCTTTTCAACAGCAATGATAAGCTGGTTTTAACTGAACAAGAGCAGTGTTGTCATAGATCATGTTTGTAGCCCTTGAGTTGGTTCTTTTGCTGGAAGCATGATTCATAGAAGCAGAACTCTGTTCAACATCTTTATACTTTATGAAATGCAATAAGAAATTTTAGCCAAACTACTGATTTTGAAAATTCATGTACTTTGTTATCTAAAAAAAAAAAAAAAAAAAAAAAAAAAAAAAAAATAGCAGTTACAAAAAATAAAAATTCTGTAGTCCTAAGCACACATAATCAGAGACAGGTGTTCATCAGCAAATGGGTTTATATGTAACCGATCATATTTGCACAAAAAACATCTCACCGTCTTCTAATTAGGATGAGGCTACATCACTCATGTACATCAAGTATAGAGAAAATAATTTTTCTTTTAAATGGTGAAAATTGGATGAGGACAATATATTTTCAAACTGTTCATTTAAAGATTTTTCTTTTATATAACCACTTAAAAACCTCAATATAATGGTCACAGTAGCTTTCTGCTTTTTGAAGTAGAGCATTATCAATACAACTCTTGATAAACCTACTCTTCTCACTAAATACTATGTTTAATATGCATAATGTTTTCTTAGTTAAATATTTCACTTGAATTCCCATGGCAGTTGTAATTACTGTAATGTGATTAGATTTATTTTGCCTTTTTTTACCAGTGAAAATGCATTAGCTTTTTTTCCCTCACCTTTTTAGGTGCCAGTCTGACATACAGCTTTGGGGAGTAAGCTTGTCTTCTATTGTAAGGCCTCTTAAAAATTGTGAATGAGAGGAAGCTCAGATCATGTTCATAATTAGTAGTGTTGGGATTGTGTTGATTTGAAGCAGAGACAACATTTGCAGAGAAAAATAATAACTTTTATTTATCGACTTCAGGTTATAAAATCTGTTTTCTTAATCACAAAACTCTTTTCAAGAAGTAAATTTTTTAGCTTGTGTGTGGCGCTGTATCAATACTAAAACCTTTTGTATCTTGTTTTATATATTACTTTAAATGAGGAAAATGAATAAATAATAAATACTTATTTCTTTTAGTTTTAGATACTATATAAGAATAATAAACATGTGAAGAGAGTCTTTAAAAACAATGCATATGCTGCCTGAAGTATTCCTATCAGTATGGCACATTTTATTCATGTAGACACATTTAAAATAGCAAAAATCTAGAAGAGTAATTAAGATTTTACAGCTGTTAAACTGTAAGAAAAGCAAGAATAAATTGCAATAATGGAGATTTAAGTTAAGATTTCTGACTTATTTGTTTTTTTAAATTTTTATTTGGTCTGTGGTATCATCTTCAGTTCACTTTCACACTTCTTATCTTTTGAAGTCGTCTGACTTTTCTGATCAAAGTGAAACTGCTGCTGACTATTTCAGTCGGTCCAACCGCAGGGGAAGCATTGTTTCCGATGCAGATGATGTCCAAGGTTTGAATAGTGTGAGTGTAATCCTCGTTGTTATGGTGTGGTGAATACAGCAAAGTTACTAACCATGGATTTAATTTTCATACTCTGAAAGATTAAATACTGTAAAAGCACTTGGAGTTATTTAATGGCAAAAAGGTTTGTTGGGGGGGGTTGGGGCTGTTTTTTGTATAAAAATGTCTGGAATCTGAGTTTTTAAACAGCATGCTGCCTTATTTATAAGGAGTTTTTGCCTGTTGCTAGAAGCATGTGATGTGTTAACACTTCACATTTTTTGTGTGTGACAAGTCTAAGCATCTCTTAAATGTGAAGTGTTGGGGTTTTTTTCTTAGGGAAACTAATGTCTAGGTTTTCTGTGTATTTTTTAAATACTACTACTTGGTTTAGTGACAGAAATGCTCACAACTGTGCCCTTGTTAGTGCATTCATTCATCCAAGAGATTTAGTCAGGATCCATTACTGGAGCACTCACTGTTGGCTGTGTTCTTGTACGGAATCCCAGGTCAATAAATAGACCATGTTACAGGAAAACTATCATGATGGTTTTCCAGTTCATCCCTTCAGTCTGAACATTATTTACACTAAACCTAGCTGCCTTCTCTTTATTGCTGCTATAAGTTTTAGAAATTCTTGTTACTTGCAGTCAAAACTTTTGTATTTAATGGTGGAAAAAATAGGGAAATTTCTGTTCTTAGGCATGTCTTTGAAATGACAGTCGGTGTTAGTATATGCAGTAGGAAGAGAGGTTGAGAGAACTGGGCTTATTTAGTTGGGCAAGGGGGATGCTACATGGTGATCAAGCCACCTGCAATTGCTTGATCAGGCAAGAGCCAAACTCTTCTTACCTGTGCCAAGCAGTGCAGCAATGGGCATCAGCCTCACGCTGCAGCTTAGGAGGTTCAGACTAGACACTGCAGGAAGCTCCAGGAGGAGGTTAGTGTTGTGCTGTGACAGGTTATGGCAAGGCTGGGGAACCTCCGTCCTCAGGAGCTGGTGAAGCTTATCTAGTTAATGCCACTGCTGACCTGGACTGGTGGCAGCCGTTCTGCTTTGCCTGGAAGGCTGGACTAGGTGACTGCTAGAGTTACTGCTACAGTCACAGTTTTGGGGGATTCTGCATTTAGGTGATTTAATACTCTTATAGCGCTGCATAACTTGTATTGTAATAAGGCATGGTATTTATCATCTGTATATGCTCAAGGCATGAGACACCAATCATTTCTCCAGTTTAAATCTTAACTTTTTTATTCTCTCTAATAAACCTGCTTTTCTGAGTTAATGCTCTGCTAAAAGAAAATGTGAAGGCTGAGACTGGCAATTATGCTACCTTCTCAGTTGCTTTTATTATCACCATCATAATTATATATGATTAGATTCCAAATTTATATTTTTAATTAAGTTATTATGAATGGATAATTCACATCAATTGGATTCTTCACATCATTTTATCATCACAGTGGTGAAAGACATTTTCAATTTACAATTTCAGTACATCATTGGAGATTGTGAATTTGCCATGGAAATGCCATGTTGCTTCTATAGAAACTACAATAGAAGGAAAAAGAAGAATCTCATAAAGTAACATTTGTTTCTACTGTGATTGTAGCAGACTTCCAAATCTCTTCTCTCTGGGCCAGCAGAAAAACAGGTGTTCAAAGAAGCAAGATACTTGAGATACCATAATCAATATATCATACTTGTTTTTGAAAATACGGCAATGTGTTAAGGTCTTTCTTTAATTCTACCTGTTTTGATTTGTAGGAATGAGGAAAATATGGAAATCTACAATATAATTTTGCAATATTAGAAATGAGAAGGGGGGGTGGGGGGGTGGTAGTTCTTTCGCGTAGGCTTCAATACATAAAATAGGAGTTGAAGTTATTTTGTAGGTTGCTATTAATTGGTACACTTTAGTTATGGGCTTGTACCTGAATTGTTTTTGTCCCGATGTAGTTTCAGGTTTCACCAAAGAGACTGAAAGATCAAATGTGTTTTCTAATAACTAGGATGTTCACACTGGTGTCACTGATTGTCTGAAGTGCACTTGCATGAGGCTTCATGTTTGTTATGCCACCAAGTGTTGTAGTCACTACCCTGTTGAAATTTACAATAATGAAACACATTTTGTTATTCAGTACTTCAATATTGGTCATGAATTTTTAAATATTTTAAAGTTTCTAGCTTTTTCTTTACAAGCATTCATTTATTTTGCAATTGAGGTAAAAGCTACTTTTTCAGGCTGAATTTTTTTTTTTTCCTGTTTTGATCTGTGCTAACTTCTGGAATTTGTTTCATAGTTTCATTTTTTGTTTTTAAATATTTCTCAGTATCTTCGAAATGAAGATAGTGATTCAGTAGTCCCTTGTTGCAAAAGGTGTATTGTGATCACTTTCCTTTTTCTTTTTCAGCGGGAAGAAAAGAGTGAAAAATCACATTCAGAAATATTTTCAAGGGTAAGAATTTTTAATATAAAAACTATCAGAAGTCAGTGTTCATCCACAAATTAGCAAATATTAGAATAGTTAAAAAGTATAAATGCTGTGTTTTTAGTGGAGTCTGTTTTAGTAATTTTTTAAGAGGTTGCAAAGAGATATTTTTAGACATATTTTTAATTTCTAAAATGAATTCTTTGTGTCTTTTATTTCCTGAGGAAAGAATTTTAATTTTTAGTTTACTTTTAGCAAGTATGAGTTTCTTATACAATTTGTTTTTGTGAGAAATATTTAACAGGAAATGTTGAATTTTAAGAGGCTAGGGCTATAAAAATTCATATGCTAGATTCAACTGGAGACTTTCTTCTGAATCCCGACTGTTAGAAATTATAGTTTTTATAAATGTTTTAAACTTCTACAGTTTTTTCAGCACTAACAGCCTCCTTATGAAAGTTTTCTGAACAAGTGACTCAAAACTGTAATGTTATGATAACTGATAAGTCAAAGAGGAACCAATGTTTCACCAAGAAGAAACATAAGTGCTGGAAAATAATCAGTAGAAAATATTGCATATAAGTTAATATTATGAAATGGTAAAGAGAGAGAAAAGTGTTCTATGACCATTACGAAACTTCTAAAGAGTAATGTCAAGTATACCAGAAATGATGGTAGGATTCCTGATACAATGTTTTTCCCTTTTTAAGCCATCATCTCGCAATTCAATAAGTGCAACTCATCTGAGTGGTAGCTCATCTAGGAGAGGAAGTGGGGACACAAGCAGTTTGGTGGATCCTGATGCCTGCCTCAGTGAATTACGGGTAAACTGCATTTTCAGAGCATTTGGAGCTGGTATAAAATTGTATTTGTGATGAGGAGGAATTTTACTTTGGTACAAAACTTCTGTTTTCTTGATGGTAAGAAATAGTTAGGAGGGTGTAGTTTTCAATCACAAAAGATTTCTGTATTTGTCTTGGTAGTTGTATCTGTTGGGTTCATAAATATTTATGTTGCTAACAGTTTAGCTTTTATTAAAGTAACACTTTGTTTATGTCAAATTTTGAAACAATTCTGTCCTATTTGAGATGGCTTGGTTACAGGGACATAAACAAAATCTTAATTCCCATCAAGCTGTTGTGAACTAATTACAATTTCTGTGAATTATTGCAGGCTTTGGCATTTGACAGAAATGGATGTAAACTTTTTAATGCTTTTTTGACTATAAATTATTTCCCCATACTTCTTATGCAATGGTTCATTCCTATGTCCTGCAGGATATCTATGATCTTAAGGACCAGATACACGATGTAGAAGGGAGATACATGCAGGGACTTAAAGAACTAAAGGTATCAGGGCTCCTCCCAAGCATGCATTCTGTATGGGTATTTTTGGGTAATGGAGTTATCACTGCTTCCACTAACTATACAAGCCTTTACTAACAAATTTTTAAATTTCTTTAAAGCATGTATCTAACTTAGAATGCATAGAGAGCATCATCTTAAATTTGTCATGTGAGTAAATTATTAAGATATGATTTAAATGAACCTCAGATGATACATGTTTGTTATTTGGTTTGCGTTAAAATAGTATTAAACTTTCATATTTTTAGCAGGTGTTTTGTGGTAAGATAATGAGAAGTTCGATTTATATTTTTTAAAAGATTTTTAGGAAATAAATGGATATTCAAAATATGTATTGAATATGGCAGAAAGAAATAGGATATACTTATGACAGAGTTTATGAAATTAAGAATTAGTCTTCTAAGTTTCTGCAAATACTACATCCTATAAAGCAATACCAAAGTCATAATTTTGAAAGATGTGCTGAAATGAATCTGGGCAGGCATATTGCTTGCAGGAGAAGATTAATTTTGTTTTAATCCTTTGCCATGAAGAAAAAAAATTTTTTTTAGGCTTATGATCTACATTCCTATTGTCTTTATCTAAATTATAGGTTGGTATTTTCAGCATTAGGTTAATGAGATCTGTCTGTATTTTGACTTGTTTAAATTAGTATATGTGCTTTTCTTTCATAAGCTTTTGCACAATTAACAGTTTGCAGTTAAAGTATTATTATTTTCTCCTCTTGTGCTGAAGAGGAACTGAATACATCAAACTATGTGGCTTACAAATATTTTTCAGGTTATTTGTCGTGTTCTCTTTCCTGTTATTGAATTGTGAATGGTTCTGTATAAAAGTAGAGATGTATTTCCATATTTGGTTTATATCCATATAGAGACTGAATTTAATGAATGCTACTTGTACTAGAGCATGTAACAGTGATGTATTTAACAGCTTCCTTGAATTTTCTTGATTAAACAACATATTAAATGGGATAGTAAACTATGTAATTTGAGCTGTTCAGTGTAGTAAAAAATATTTCCTCTTTAGAGGTTAAGTAACTTTGAATCTGATAGCCATATGCCCAGATGAATTATGTCTATTTTTAATCATACTGCCATATGAATGTTAAAAGGACATCAAAGAGCAGTAGATTACAAGATTATTAGACATAGCTATGATTGTACAAAGTTTAAATGAAACATGAGATTGTTTCATGTTTTCAGAATGAATTTAGCTCTCACACTTCTGCATGTTTGCCAACACCTCATGACTACTGTTCTGAACCATTACTAATGCACTATTATTTATTGTAATCCATTACAATTACCAAAGAGCACAGGTATGCAGGAGACAGTAAGATCTTGATCTGTGCTTGGCTTACAAAATTGAATTGCATTTTATGCTATTGTTTGTTCCGAATAGTATGTTCCTAAGTTAATTTGCCTTCCATAAAGATTCTTTTGGGAACCTTTCTTTCTCAACTTCTGCTTTAGCAGTTTTGTCTTATGTACATTAGAAGATTTACTAGGATACTCGCTTTTACACTTCTTTTATGTGTTTTTTCAGTCACTGAGTAACAGAAATTTGTAATCACACTACCTTCCTATCTCTGTGGTTGCCTATCCCTCATGCTGCTAAGAGTGTGGTTTTTAAGTGTCTACAAATCTGCTGGGTGTCAGCAGAATAAACTAATGTGGATAGTTTTGATTTAGTTAGGTCTTCAAATATTTTCATGTCTGTTTGATTCAGTTTTGTTGATTCTTTTTATATTCCTTTGCATCAACTAGAAAGGAATCCTTTTTCTTTCCTCAAAATTTTTCTTTATGCAGTTAACCAAGCACTCTCTTGCTGGGTTTGATCATCTTGTTCTAACCAAGCAAGCTAATTTGCATAGCTGTTTGGCTTTACTGACAGAATTGTGGGTGGTATCTCTCCATAGCTGTAGGTTATGTGGAGAGCCGCTTTATCCATTTTCATTCCAACCTGTTCCCACTGCTTCATCCTTAGACATCCCACTGCCTCATTCTAGTGTTTCAGAAATTCTTCCAAATCTATGTTATTTTTCACCAAACTGGAAAATTACTGAAACTAGGTGGAATTCTTGAATCCTTAGAGAACATGTGTAATACTTCACTCAAAAACAAGGAACAGTTCCAAAGAAGTCTTAGCAATGTTCCAGTTTTTTTAACTGGTCAGAGGTTCTTAGGCATAGCTTGGTTTCTTCCTCAGAAGCAATTCTCACTCTTCTGTTTCAAAATCAATTTATTCCTCTTCCATAACTGCAGATTTTTTCCCCCCCTTTAACTTGGATTTTGGATCCAATTAACTTTTGGATTTTAATCCAATCTTTTAAGCCCCAACCTAGTATTCTCTTTAAGGCTGGAGTGCTGGAGCATGTGGCATACAGTAAGAGGTTGAGACAACTGGATTCAGTAAGTCTTGGCAGGGTGGGTGGCAGTATCATTGCTGTTTTCAGCTGGCTCATAGGCCGTGGAGAACACAGGGCAGACTCCTTTCAGAGGTGCACAGTGACAGGACAAGATGCAACAGACAAAAAAGTTGCATTGTAATAGCAGAAGTTTCAATTAGACCTCAAGAAAAAGGCTTTCCACAAGGCAGTCAAACACTGGAACAGGTTGTCCATCCAGGTTCTGCGCTCTGCATCCCTGGGAGATACTTGAAATGAAGTGAAGATGAGCTGTGACCAGCCTGATCTTGGTTGGCCCTGTTTAATTAGGAGATTGGACCAGATGGCCTCTAGATATCTCTGCCAACCTAAATTACTGCATAACTCCACTCACCACACTCACAGAAACAATCAAATCAGAATTTTTTCCTAGTTAGACTTTCTGTTAAATTTTTAATCTTCCCATAAAAGGACTATAGCATTCATTTTAATCCTAGTATTTTCTTTTTTTTCCTCTAAATTTAATTATTCTTTGAAGGTCTTTGGAAGGTTTGCTGTCTCTGACATTTTGTTTTACCAGTCTTTACAAGACTTGTCATGTTCACACCATCACAAAAATGTTTCCTGTAGTTTTAATCTTAAGAATTACTTGAATGCACTTACATGTATTCTTTATTTTTTCATTATTTTCTTCTCTCTTATTCTGAATCTTCTTTACTCTTTTCTATTTACTACTTCCCAGATAATGGTACCTTTCTATTTTCACTACTTAGACTGCCTTATCTCTTCTGATCTGTTGTCTATCAGGATATGTCTGAAGGTATTTTTTTCTGGGGTTTCTAAACATACTGTATTTCTCCAGCACAAGATTGCAGAATTCAGTTAATGGAACAGAGAGGTATAAATACATGTGATGATGATAAATCTATAACAAGTAAAATATGGACTTTAAGGACAGCTTTCTCAAAACAGAGATTTGTAACATGAAATAGCATTTAGGGGTTGGGCTTTTTTGGTTTTCTTATAATGGAATATTGAACTGTGACTTGGTATCGCTAAAGAGAAGACACGAATACAATTCAAAAACAAAAATGGTTGCATAATTTCACTGTGTAACACATAGCACTCTTCAGTGTTTTCTTAGGAAATTTAGATTGTTACCACTTCTCCCCTTGTATCTTAGTCCTTAATCCTACTGTTCTGTTTTCTGGAAAACCCAAGTGTGGTGCCCTTCCTGTGCTAGTACTTCTACTGTCATAATACAAATAATTAAAAATGGAGGTTATACTACTTATGCCTTCAAAGAACAGGTTACATGAAATACTAGGAAATTTGTAGTAGGGCACAGATCTACTTTGAAAAGGGCAGGGCTTATTAGGTCTTTTTCAATTCTAACATTAGAATTGAAACTCGAGTTTTTGTATTTTTAAAAGAATGTGTATTGAAAACATTGCATATTTAAAAGTGCCTGGAGTGATAGTTTTTCTAGTATTTGAATAGTTAACATTTGTTACAGTATGAGGAAAAAAAATAATAGGATAAAATCATTTTGGTAAATGTGGGAGAATTGCGTAAGAGCGCATATAGCAAGGCATATATGCACCTTCAGGGAGAGAATCGAGCATGTGAATCTTTACATGCTTTTGTCTTATTTTTAACTTGGAAAGACAAAATGCTTAAACAGAGGATCATTATTACTTAAAAAATGTAACTACCTTAAAACTTTGAATCCGAGATAATAGAGCACTGCTTAAGTAATGAGCATTAAGTTAAAGCTACTCTTACAGATATTTCTGCCATCTTTTTTAGTTATTTGAGTACTCTGTCAGATTTGCTGCCTTATTCTGAAGTGTTTTCTCATGCATGCGCTGAAATTACAATAAAGCTGTGATATTACTACTTTATCCTGTTAAGTTGTGAACATGGCAAAGCAGAAAATGCAAGTGGAATATAACCTTGTAATTTTCATACTTATGTAATGATAACTTTTCGTTGCTGTGTATGACTTTACTTGAATAATAGAAATTGAGCAGTGACTTGATATCTCTAAAGGGAAGACATGACTATAAATCAGAAGCAAAAACATTTGTGTAATTTTACTGTATAACAGCACACCAGCATTATGGTGATATTCTAACATGTTGGCAGTGCATCAGAAAGTTAGATTAATATAAGCCTTTCTACTATCTATAGGATTCACTAGCTGAAGTTGAGGAGAAGTACAAGAAGGCCATGGTTTCCAATGCGCAACTAGACAATGAGAAAAACAACTTGGTTTACCAAGTAGATACTCTAAAGGACGTCATTGAGGAGAAAGAAGAACAGATAGCAGAGTTCTGTAGGGAAAATGAAGAGAAGACCAAGGTACTAATTTTTAAGACTTTCTTTCTAATTATAAAGATAAAGCATAGAAGTCTGAACTGCTTAGTAAGAATAGTTGAAAACTTTTGGATTAGTGGAAAATTCTATCTGTCTCAGTGGCCAAAGACGTTTTGAGTATTGTGTTGGTTTTAAAAAAAAAAAAAAAACAACCAAAAAAACCCCAAAAAAACCAAACAAAACACCATCACCCCCAGAAAACAAGTGTTATTTAATTAATGCAATACACTGAAGATAAAATATGCTTTTAAATTTAATAGGACATGTTCAGTCCCACTTTCTTGGAAAGGGAAAAATCTATGTGACAGCTTTTTCCAGCAATCTTTAGATAAACTCAGTATCTGAGCTTTTCTTGTTAATATTATGCTTAAGCCTTTATGACATCTTTTTTTCTCTGCTTTATGTTTTATTAAATAAAAATCTTCTGTATAGTTAGTATCTGGAGAAGTTACCTAAAACACTGTTTATGTGATTTTTAGCCACTTGGTATATAGAATTTCTCAAATTGCAGTAATTTCTTGGATAATGTGGTGTCAAGTGATACTGCTAACTTTTTAAAACTTTGTTGATAATGAGTATCAAGCCCAAAATAAATAAATAATTTATTTAATACAGGAATTGGAAAGACAGAAACACACATGCAGTGTTCTGCAGCATAAGCTGGATGAGCTTAAAGAGGGCCTTCGACAGAGAGATGAATTGATAGAGGTATGTTCATATGAGACAGGGTGTGATACCGCTTGTGAAACTAAACATGGTATAAGATTTGAATGGGAACAACTATCATACACAAAATTAGCTTAAATATTATCTTGCGTTTTTAAGGAAGAATTTATCTTGTATTAGTGGGTAGGATTTAAGCTATCAATCTCTCCAAATTTATAAAATTTAAAATGTCTCTGTAAGGTTTTCAAATGTGTTACATCTTGTAAAATCCTGAATTCCTGTGAGGATCATGGTTCTCTCATGAATGTTCCTTGTATCTTTTCCTCCTTGTGAGGGCAGAACTAATGTTTGTATGGCCAAAATCTTTTTGCATAGCCAGAAGTCCTGATGCATGGATAATACCAAATGTTATTCTTTTCCCAAAAATTTCCATTTCAGTTATTTTTGGTTTCTTCGAGCATCAGCCACTGAAGTTTGCAGTAGTGAATGTTTGCTCACTGGTCAAGCATAAATACAGCAACACTGGTCAGCATGGTATTGGGTCATAGTCATGTTGCTGGGTGTGTGGTGTGCTCTTCTCCCTCCCGCCCCTTGCCCTGCTCTGTTTCCCCTCCTTGCCCTGCTCTTCTGGAAACAAATCAGCATGCTCTAAAATCCTGGGGCACATTGGGAATGCATCACAGTTAAAATGAAAATTAAAAGTTAAACTTATCAGTCTTCATTTTAAAATGGTTCACAGAAATACATATTGTCAACAGTATGTTGGTATCCATTTGCCATTGATTTTAGTTCTAGCACTGGAAGTTGTGGTTTAATTAATATGTCGTTCTCCCACCGCCTTTTGGTTTCAGTAAAAATTGATGGTCTTTAAGTGTATAAGCCAAGGTTTCCACTGCCTGATTTTCAAAAGCTATATAATATTGCATTTCACTGATCAGTTTTTCCCCACTAGGTACTTGTGCTCTCCAGGTAGTAGTAGTAGTACAATAACTTAAAAAGACTTCTGAAAAGTCCCAGATCTGCTATTGAGAAAATAATATGCTTCGTAAACTGGAGTTGATATGACTTACTAGCAGAAGAAAAGGAATATGATTAGCATAAGTAGCAGCAGACTAGTGCTGACAAGCAAAATCCTTAGCAAATTCTGGTTATAGTTCTGTCACTTGCTCTAGTTTTTCTTTGACTTCACTGTGAATTAAAAAAAAAAACAACTTTATACTTTCTTCTTTGGTTCTTGTTTTTTTAAAGTATGTCAATCATTGAATGTACAGTAGATGAGTCTGGAGTGTTCACTTTGGTAGAACGTACCCTATGTGTTAAATACTCTCCAAAGGCATGCAGTCCTTTCAAAGATTTGACCTATATTTACCATTTATTTGAGTAACTTCTCCATCTATTAACGCTAAAAGAAAATCTAGCTGAAGCCATTTAGTTTTTTGCAGAAAGACATTGTCTTTTATTCTCAGATGTAAAATCAAGTTCACTCATTAGGAAGGAAAAAAATTGTCTCTAGCCCTAAAAATTCTTATGTCATCTTCATATATAATTATATGAGCATAGCAAAGAATCTTAGTTACATTTGCAGGGCAAGCAGCAAAACGCAATGTTAGCTAAAAAACAGGACCGCACTTGATAGTACCAGAAACCAGTCAGCAGCTGTGTGTCACTTCCTGGGTGCTTGATTCAAACTTCCTCATTTATACTTTCAAGGTTTTTTGATTTTTGTAGAACATTAATAAAACCACTTGTTAACATTAATGTTCGCTTCCAGATGGGACTTGATGGTATCTGGAAATTTTGACAGAGTAATTACTTTCCTCTAGAGAGATGTTATCCCCAGTCTGTAGTGGGAACTGTTATTAAAGAAAAGTAGCTCTAGCTGCACTAAATTCTCCCATCAACAATGATTGAATAAAACTAATTACCATTCTCTTGCATGAATTCATAAGGAATATATTATGTTAAGTTGCACCCTTTTTCTTTAACTTCATGCTCATAAACTCTTTGGTTGACTTTTATTACTTAATTTCCTTTATCTATTTGAATGGTTTGTGTTTTTTTTTCATTTCCTTACTTCTCTTTCCTCTTGTATTCTTCCCTCATCCTATTCACTACAGGAGAATCAACGCATGCAGCAGAATATAGACTCCATAACCAAAGAGGTGTTTGATCTCCAGGAGACAGTTAATTGGAAAGATAAAAAAATAGGGGTATGAATCAAATATGGGTGGAAATGTGTTTTTTCATTTTAGAAGTAGGTGGATGCCCCTCACACCCCAAGGAATGCTGTGTACTCCAAAGAAATGAAGGCTGCTCCCAATTAAAATATTTACAACTTTTTGCATTCGTTCTTTTTAGAAAATGACCTCCACTTCATCTTTACTTGCATAATGATGAATAATCCTAATCAATCTGTAACATAATAAACTGTTACGGATACGGTTTTATAATTTTTTACCTGTATTTAGGGCTCAAAGTCATAATTTCCTTATTTTTAACAAAGGTAAAAATCATCTGGGTCCATATATTGATCTATGGGGACATGGCAATAGTAGAGTTTTATACAGATTTGAAATAGTTTTCAAAGTTTTAAATCTCCTTTGAGGCAACTATAGTTTTCAAAGCTTGGAACAGTTCAAAGCCTGCTGACCATTTGACTCCTGCCTCTGTTGTCATCTTTACAATTTGCATAAGAATTTGCTTTATGCTACCTGGGATCAGAGAGACAAAATACCCTGAATAATGGAAAACCTAGAGATCTGCAGGAGCTAAGGGTCAAAATGTAGAGAAGCCTCAGTGAGTATTTGTAGATCATACTTGCATTTGGCATACCTAGAGCTAAAAATATGATCTGGAATTGACTTCTGCAGCCAACTTTCACATTCCTGTATTGCACTTCTGATCCTTCTAGAGTTAGTTAGCTTGGATGCAACACTGAACCCAGCTGATTATATGGTACCACACACAAAGTTACCAACTATTGGAATTGAGAGTTGAAATCAAAACAGTGGTTGTATGGGACCTTTTGGGGAGCATCCATAGGGCTCCTGTATAGGAAGGAAGGTGGTACAGAAAGAACTGTGTTGATATTCACTACGCAGCCAACATAGGTCAGGCAGGGTTTGTCAGCTATGCTTCTGGGCAGCACAGAATTGGTAAAACTGTGGGTCAGCCTGATCCTTGGTGATAACTACATGGCTCTGAAGTTGTGGCTGTTCTGGGCCACGAGTAGATTGCCAGGTGGTGAGAGGGAGCTAGCTGAGAAGTCTTTAGAAAGGAATTGTCTGCCTCTTAGTAAATCTAGGGTCATTTCTGTCTAACTGAATTTTACCACAGATTTTGAAATATGCAGATTGCTTTGAAAATTGCTGTATTTGCTGGAGTTCAGCTCACTTTGAAAAGTTTTTTTTTTTAACTGATGGTGCCCAGTTAAAAAAAAGCCCTGTTATACTGTCTTTTTTCAATCCATATTTATTTTGTGTTTCAATCCTTCAATCCATACTGCAATCTTTTCTTCCATCATAAAATAATATTTCAACCTTTCAAAATTTTGTTCTGAGCATTCTTCTGAAAGTATTTTTTTTATCATTAACCATGTTCTTTCCATGCTTACTCTTCACCTTTGTATATTGGACTGTCTCTCAATTTGTGCAATTTTTTTTGTGCAAGCTTTTTTTTCTTTCAAATACGTTGCCAGAGTCAGTACAGAGCATATCATTTGTTTAATGTTCAGAAAAATAGCTTCCAGGCAGATTGACAAGAAAGACATGATTTTTCCTTTAGCCAAAATTTTTCTGCCAGTTTCTGTGTTCTTCTAAACACCATAGCTAGACTTTTTTTCTAGTTTCATTTTTTTTCCCATCTTGGAATTGAAATCTTTTAGTTCTTAAAATGTAAAAATGCTGCTGTCTTTTCTTTCTCACTTCTGTTATCTAAACACATTTAAATACTTTTCTTAGCTCACAGTTTTTGAGTCTTTCTTCCCAGTACTGAGTAGCTTTGCTAGTTTTTACTCTATTCCAGCTTCTCTGAGAAGGCTTCACAGAGTAGCAGCTTACAACTAGAATTGTAACCTAGTTTTACAATGTATACAGGACTGTTGCTCCTAGGCATAAGAAAGGGAGGCAAGCAGAACAGAGATGGCTGGAGTTTTAGACCTGCCTTGTCCTGTTTCTAAAAAGTGATTGAAATTTGCAATTGTATCTGGTCTTAAATTAGATCAGTTTTAGGACATTGAATTATAACTTCCAGATTATATTCCTAAAATATACAGTTATTTTACTGTTTGATGGCTCCAAATTGTGCATGCACTGCCAATTTGAAATTAGCAATGGCGTGTCAGCTTGGTATAGATTTCATGAAGGTTTTTGGAATATTTATAAAATAGGACCCCAGGTGTATCTGCTTTCTGCTAAGTGATCAGATTTTATTCATACTGGTATGTTAAAATGTGCCTGCAGAGCTTGGTTGTCCTGATTTCTGGCCACTGCCTCAGTAGAAGAATTGCAGAAGTAGATTTAGTAGAAAATCCCTGTCATCCGTCATATCCCTGCACGTAAACACTAGCAGTTTTACTGCAGTTTTGCAACATGATTACTAATCTCTCCATACATAGAGATAGATGGTTATATCAATTTCATTTCCTTCCCCATCAATATTTTCTGATTTCCAATGCTTTTGCATGGAGGGGAATGCAGTGGGGAGGATAGAAAAGCTGTTTGGGGAAGGTCAGCAGCATCACAGGGCACTGCCAAACGCATGGGATCTGTGTCTGTGTCCAGTCTCTCAATTGGGTGAGCTTACTTCCCCCTCCATCTCTGCTTCTACCCTTCATGTAATAGCAAAAGCATAAGTGGAACACAAAATGATGTAATGATTAAGGTTATTCACACTGTTTATAATGTAGTTAGTGATCTAGTATGTGTTAGGAATAAAAAGACATATTTTAAATTCTTAAACTAGGATGTGAGAGCTAATACTTTCACACATGTTGAATTACTTGTACTTTAAATGTTACATTTACATACTAATAAATCAAGTGCAACTTCTTAATTTTTTTCTGTTGAAACTAAGAGTGATTAAAACATTGCTCTAATATACAGATTCTAGATAATTATTAAAATTCAGCATACTGCAATTGTGATGTGGGGCAATTACAATACAAAGGTATACACCTTCATTTCTTTCTTGGTATCAGTCCATTCCTAAACATTCATGCATGATGTAAGATTTAGCTGGAGAATTTTCTTGGCAAAATGTGTGTACACTTTTGCAGTTGCTGTATGGACAGGATTATTTGTAATGCATGCAGTATTGAATTTGAATGGGATACTGGGATGCTGCCTGGTCAAGTGAAAGTATCTAGTTAACTGCCAGGTGACACAGCTCCAGCTAGGTAGGCAAACCCATCTATGTCCATATTGTGCTTTTAGCTGCAATCTTTTTTTTTTGTGCTAAAATAGTGCTGCTAGTGTTTGCTGCCTTTTTTTTTTTTTTTTTGTCCTCTAAAAATGATTATTTTGGTTTTAGTAAAGGGTGGTAGTAATATTTAAGCAAGTAGTAAATAAACTAGTATTTGTAAGTGGATGACAAGCTTATGTATCCAAGGTCTTTTATTAGGTAAGATTTCTACTTGTATACCCTATAAAAGGTAGAGAAATTAGTTCAGTGAATGTAATGTTTTAGGATCTTTGCCAATTGAGTTCTGGTAAATTTTATTTCTGGCCACAGAATGCCTGTATTAAGAAGAATCACTTACTCTTTTGGTATTCAATTTAGTTTATCAAAATCTATGAAAAATAGAATCCACTAAGTAAAAAAATCTATTTGTCATGACAGAAAATTTTCATGAGAAACACACAGCGATGAGGCTAGATATGTGACTTGTGAAAGGTAGTTATCAGAGATGTACGTGTGTGTATATATATTAAATACCCCTTTTAATTTCTTTTATTGAGCTCTTTGTATGTACTTGTAGAAAATCTCTTTGCTGTCTGTCATATGCTTTTTCTCTGTGCCGTTCTTTTTCTTGCTATCTGCCTGAACCCAGGCCCTAGAAAGACAGAAAGATTACTTTGACTGCATTAAGAATGAGCGAGATGAGCTCAGAGAGGAGTTGGCTGACCTGAAGGAAACAATGAAGAGAGGAGAGGTATGTTGGTAGTAGTAACTTAACAGTAACAGAAATCCAGGAATGGGGCATGAAATCAAGGTTAATGAAAAAGAGTAACAATGGTTACTATTCTTACACAGTCTCAAAACCTGACCTTAGGGTAGGATAAATGATGTGTCTCATTGTTTCAGTCACCTTGAAAAAGTTGTTTGTTTTTTTTTAAACTTTTCTGGCCAATTACATTTTTACGCTGCTTTTATACGAGTATTTTTTTTCTTTTTGTATTTTTAGAAACATGGATTAGTTATAATTCCAGATGGCACACCAAATGGTGATGTAAACCATGAATCAGTGGTTGGTGCAATAACAGTTGTATCACAGGAAGCTGCTCAAGTCTTGGAATCTGCAGGAGAAGGACCACTAGGTAAATATTTTCTAACTTACTTCATAGAGTGTTTGAAGTCTTCGTTTCGCTCTTGTTCACAGTGGGTTGTTATGTACAGCCACAGAAAGATACCTGTGATGCTTCTGGAATACATGCTTACACAGCTTTGCAGATTGTGAATTTTTTTTTTTCCCCTGAGATTTTTTTTTTTAATGTTCAGTAAAAAGACAGATTTATCTTTTGAGTAAAAAAAAAAAAATACAATGTGCTTGGATGTTTGTATCTGATTAGATCTCTTGGTTGCGCTTCTGTTTTATTACTGTCAGAAAATATCTTGCCTAAAAGTACAGTCTTTTGGAGTAGTATGTTTTCCATTGTTTCATTAAAAAAATTCTTTAAAAGTATGTATAAGTGAAAGAACTTCCATTATTGAAAACAATGCATTGTGTACTCTTTGTCCTTCCTTGAAATACTTCTGCCTTTGCTAGTGTAAAGCAAGTGTAGTCTTTCACCACATTCATTAGAAAAAAAATACTTTTAAAAACATTCAAAAAATGACATAGTCAACAGAAAGATAAAGGTGGGGGGGGCTTTTATTTTAACTTGCCTTTATTCTTAGGTCACACAAGTTACTGTACACATAGTCAATCCACTGTAAAATTCTGTTAGTTAACATGGAAGGAAACATCTCTATAGACTTGCATTATGTTTGTACATAATATATAATATTTACATGCTTTTGTTTCAACAGATTAGACTTGATACATGTTTCTGGTGTGGTTCAATCATAATGAAATACGGATGTCTTTATGCTTCGTCACTGTCAAAGTTATGATTTCTAAGGGAGTTACTCCAATCTTAGCACAATGTTGTTTGACAGACTGTTTTGTAGCCATTACTGATCTTCTGAATGATTAGAGATACTGCAGCATTCCTGTGGGTCGTTTCCCAAGTACTTTTTTGTGGTTTGAGAACACTTTCTACAAACTTTCTAAACATATGGAGAAGCTTAGTGCCTTCCCTGAAGAGACAGCAGTCTTTAAGAATAAGACGGGGAAGAGTATATAATTAGAAGAAAATTTTCTTGAAAATGGCTGTTCTAGATACTGTGTCTTATTATTTTTAAAAACATCCTCAGTTATTAATTTGTTTTGAAGAATTACTAAACTCAGAGTTCTTGCTTTTAAAATTGTTGTACTAACAAGATATCTTTCCCTTTTTTCTGCTATTAACTAAAGGCTGGTATGTTGTTATAAGTAAGATACCAAAGTTTTATGTTCCCAGGTATATTACATTTAAAGAGCATTTGCTTTGAAAATGAACAAAAAGTTATAAAAAAATATGTTGCTAGTTACCGATTTCTCTGGTTTTTAATTTGGTTCTTTGTTTTTAGATGTCAGGCTACGAAAACTGGCTGGAGAAAAGGAGGAATTATTGTCCCAGGTAAAATAAGCTATTCTTTTCAGAAATAGACCTTTGTGTATCCTTTTGCAGACTACTAATACTGTAGCAATAAACAAATACTAAGCACCAAAGGTGCTTAATCAAGTACATAAGCACTAAAGCAAAACACAGTACTCAACTTCTTACTTGCCTGGCTAGCAGAAGTTATCAGCTCCACTCACTCTTGTCCTTATCTATGTGACTTTGATCTCAGTTGGTAAAGAACCCTTATTTCACTAACTGGTTAGCTGGAGTCTTAACTTGCTGCTGACTCTGTTATTAGTGCACGTGCTTAAAGTTGTTCTTTATTTTGTCTTATGTAGAAATATTAAAGTCAGTAAAATGACACTCAAACATTCTTCCAAATTGCTAAGTGGTAGTATTTCTTTGATCATATCAGTTTCTCAAATAGAGAAGTAATATTATCAAAGTAGTTCTCTGCTCTGGTGAGACCCCACCTGCAGTGCTGCTCTGGGGCCCCCAACATCAAAAGGACATGGACCTGTCTGAGCGGGCCTAGAGGAAGCCATGAAGATGATCAAGGGCTGGAGCACCTCACCTGTGAGGACAGGCTGAGAGAGTTGGGGTGGTTCAGCCTGGAGAAGAGAAGGCTCCGGGGAGACCTTAGAGCAGCCTCCCAGTACTTAATGGGGCTACAGGAAATTTGGGGAGGGACTCTTTATCAGGGAGTGTAAGGATAGGACAAGGGGTAACTGTTTTAAACTGAATGAGGGTAGATTTGGATTAGATCTAAGGAAGAAATTCTTCATTGTGAAGGTGATGAGGCCCTGGCACAGGTTGCCCAGAGAGGTTGTGGCTGCCCCCTCCCTGGCAGTGTTCAAGGCCAGGTTGGACGAGGCTTTGGGCAACCTGGGCTAGTGGAAGGTGTCCCTGCCTGTGGCAGGGGGGTTGAACTAGGTGATCTTTAAGGTCCCTTCCAACCCAAACTATTCTGTGATTCTAGTTGTAATTTAATACAGTTCAGTATTGAGAAGAGAGGACATAAGAAAACGTATAGCTATTGAACAGTTGTTAGGAATACCATAGTTTTTGTGCTTCTAGTTGAGCATGTTGCAAATTTAAAGTGGTGTTGTCACATTTGTTTTTGCTGGGAATGTACCTTAACTTTATAACAGGTACTTGGTTTAGAATGCAAATAAATTCTAGTATTTAATCAAAGCTGTTAACTATAAGTATATAAATATGTATATGCATATTCATCACCATATAATTGTAAAAATCCCTGTTAAAATATTCAATTCATACCGTGAATGAGAGTTTTGCAAGTATAACTCCCATACTGCTAATCTGTAGGGCAATATTTTGATAAGAGAGTTAAAAAAGTAGCTCCCACTCCCTTCATAAACTCTAGACTCGGAGGACATAACTGAGGAATCTGTTCCCTGACTACTGGAAAAATCCCAAGACAGCTGCTGTAGCATAAACCAGAATCGTTTAAGACTAATGTGCACTACAGGCTTGCCTAGGACCATGGCTTGCAGGTGGAGTAAAAGAGAGGACCCCAAAAATGTGGATTATTCTTTCTGTAAACTCACCAGGATATTGTTCATTATCTTCATACATGTTTAGAGTATAAATGGTATACAGTAGAAGAAATTAATCAATGGAGTTTATTGCTGCTGCCTCCTCTGGAAGGCAGCTGTGCTAGAGTTACTGGGTGCCGCAGCGTTGTGCAGAGATCCCTGCAGCTCTGACCGAACTGGTGGCTTTGGGTTGTGTCTTAACGTGCAGAGGGCACTTGACCAGTGATGGGGATGGGGTACTGCAGTCACAGGCCTCAGGGCCTGCCTTCCCTGCTTCCCCTGCATGGCTCTGCTGCTCCCGCTTACGGAACTGTCTCAGCCAGTGGCATCTCAGGACTGCTTTGCCTTTTTCCCATTGAATGTTTAGATACACAACTACAAAATCTGGGAGTCTGTTTTTTACAAAAAAACACTTCTTTTTCAGGTTAGAAAACTGAAGATGCAGTTGGAAGAAGAACGACAGAAATATTCTAAAAGTGATGGCATGAATCCAGATATCATAGGCTTAGAGAATGGTTCTGACTTGCAGCTCATAGAAATGCAGAGTAGGTATATGGTTACTGTTCAAAAGTATTCTTACTGGGGAGAAGAAACAGACCTCCAACTCCTTGTCCTACATTGCTGTGCAGTAGTAGTATTGTGGATGAATATATTGTTGAGCAGCTAGCTTTTTGTTGGTATTACTCCTTGCGAGAAATTTCTCACTGCAGAATAGCTTAAAAATCTGCTTCTTTTGGTGTTGAACAACAACATTCTGAGAAGTTATTTATCAGTTGATGACATTGCCTAGAATGGGTGCCACTACTGAACAATTCTGAGTTTTAGATGGCAGAATTTCAGCTGAGATACTTTGTTAATGTTATACCTGATTTTTAAAAAAATTTTTTGAACTTTTGATACAGAAATAATCTAATATGCTGTTGTTCTTCGAAGCAAAACATGAAAAATTATTAAAGTTTAACACTATTCAATGTTGTTTCATAGAAGCACTTTCCATTTCAAGACAGCTTTTCCTTCAGCTGAAAGCTTTACTCATTTGATGGATTGTCTTTTAATATGCTTGTGGTAATGGACATGAACCAGAGCATTGGCAATGTCAGAGCTAAAATATAACCAAAATAATTTGCAGAGCTCCTTAGGAGTTTGTCAGGCAGGTTCAAGTCTTATACTCCTTGTTTAAATGTTACTACATGCGTCTGTGCTAAATGCTGCTGGTAATATGTCTATTGTGGTTTCACCCGTTTTGCAGTGTGTTTTGGCTATTGTGTGTTTGAAAAAAAAATTCTCATTTATATATCTGCGACTTAATGCACACTCTTATGAAGACAGTAATTGTGTTCTCTAAATAACAGGAAAATTATGCCCTTTTCATATTCTCAAAAAAATATTTCTGAAAGAACATTTACCTCATATAATCCCGTATATGGGCTTCTCAATAAAATGGTCCTTTTAATGAATTTTAATTAGAAAGGAAATTGCCAGTTTAGAGAGTTACTTTAAGTAATCCATTCATGTCAATTTTTGTCTAGGAGATGCCAACAGACAAATTAGTGAATACAAATTTAAGCTTTCAAAAGCTGAACAAGATATAACTACCTTGGAACAAAATGTAAGTGTGTCTGTCTTCGTATTTATTGTTATCATTACACTTGCTCTGCATGCTTTTATAATACTTTTTTCAACAAAACTATGAAAACATATTTCTCATTTGATTTAATGTTCTTCATTTTGCACAGAATGGCACTATATTTGTATTTTTTCATATTTCCTGCAATTCAATACCTGTGCATAGTCTAACCATAAAATAATCTGGAGTTCATTTACTAAGATGTGAATGTATGGCAGAATATAAAGAGGAACTGATGCTATTAGTTCAAGAAAATCAGTTTATGTAGCTTATTTGCTTGTAAGAAAGTTGTGTAGACTGTAGAAGGTACGTAATTTCCTCTCTGAAATTCAAGAGTTTGTTTTTATAGATGTACATATATATCTCACACTGCTTTGTGCCTGTAGGTTAGTAACATGGTATTGTAGTTCAGCACCTCTGTAGATGACCTAAAAATCACATGAAGGATTATAGCTTGAGTCAGAGATGCATAGTTGTTCTTTTTTGCACAGCAACAGGCTACTAGCCCATCCTATGGACGTGAGGGGTTAACAGGGAGATATAAATATAACAATCCAGCAAGTGGGCTTTAACACCTGCAGGCTGCAACCAGGATTTGTCTCGAGCTGCCTCTTTACTGCTGAGCTCTGTGCCTCAGCTCAAGACCTCTTGCATTATGTCCTGCTAACAGTTAGTCTCCTTTCTACTTTGCACCTTTCATATGGTCTCTGCTTTTCAACTTTCCAGCTTTTGTTTTTAATCCCATGTGTTCCCCAAATCTTGATTTTTCTTTTTCCAACTCCTCTCTCTCTTTAGTTCTTCAGTCTTCTGTATCTTCTCAGCTGTGTCCTGTACTACATTACATTCTCTACCATTTCCTGTGACCCTTGCTAGGGAGGGGCAGGCAATGAAGGGTATTCCAAGTTTCTGCTCTCGTTTTATTTTACTGTTTTATTAGTTCTTTTAAAAGCCCTCTTTGCAATTATGGCTGCTGCTAACAAAGTTAAACCTACTCTTTCCAGAGGGAGATACTATGGATAATTCACAGGATGCCTACAGTGGCATTTCAGAAAGGGAAGAACAGCTGGTGGAACACCTGGGTAAATCATTCCTTTTGTCTTGTTTGGGTTTACAGATCGGACGGCTTGAGGGGCAGGTTGCAAGGTATAAAAATGCAGCAGAAAATGCAGAAAAAGTAGAAGATGAACTCAAAGCTGAAAAGAGGAAGCTTCAGCGAGAGGTAATTGACATGACTTCCTTTATAGCTGTATGCTCCTTTCAGTCTCAAACTGCTCTGTCTTTTGCCTTCAAGCTCTGGTTTTTTGTAATCTTCGGGTTACATCTTTGAAGTGTTTTTGGAGGAGACCTCTGAGTCTATCAGTTCAGAAAACTCTAGCACATAAAAGTAATACTAATTACAATTCAGTGCATTACTTCCTTGACAGAAAGAGTCTAAAGTTGTATTTTCTTCTAAATGAGATATAACTTGTACTATTTTAAACTCATCCTTCCATAAAAATTACTGAGGGGCCAAATGCTCCCTGTGTCAAGTGCCAGCCTGGGAGGTTTCCAGCATGCACCTCACAGGGAGCTGGGATCATGTTTGCATAAGAGCTGCTGCATGACTAGCATGACACCTGGTACCCCCAGAATATATATCCATCCGCAAGTGACAATAGTGGAGAGGGCTCTGTCTTTAAACAGCATGTAATAGGAAGTTGCTGGCACCTAGTTCTTTTGGAATGAGTATGTGTTTCATGTTTCAGTTGCTTCCCGATTTTTGGGTTTTTAACAATTGAATTCCAGTTCATCTGACTGCAACAGTGGAAGTGTTGTGTCTTAACTTATGTGGCACTCTTATAACGCATGTAATATTTGTATTCCTGATTTAATTTGCTCTGTCAAAGCTTAAGAACAGCAGAAAGTCCAAGTAAACTTAGTGACATAATTTTTGTTTTCATTTTATAGTTAAGAACAGCACTGGATAAGATAGAAGAGATGGAGATGACCAATAGCCACTTAATGAAAAGGCTGGAGAAGATGAAGGCAAATAGGACTGCGCTTCTATCTCAACAGTGAAGTGGAAATCGAAAATATGATGCACTGCTCCTTGAATAACTAGCCCCTAGCTTGTTTTTAAAATAGACTTTCATTGGCACAAACTATTTGAACACAGAGTTGTTCATCGGTGTTTTAGTTTCATAATTAAATGGCATACTTCTTTTTGTAACTTATGAGAGAATGAAATGTAGTTTGAATTTCCATGTGAATGACAGTTTTGCTGTAGCGTTTGATTCTAGAGTCAGAGCTGGAGCACAATGCTGTATGTTCGATTTAGCGATAGAAAATGTTTTTACAACTGTGGAATCAAGTTTACTCACGATCTCTTTTGGCTGCTTTAATGATGCTTGATGCTCAGAGACAACTGCATGAATTCAAGAAGACACTGTATTACTGTATTATAAACTAACATGTATTTGCTCAAGACATCACACAGCACAAGTGCCTTTTATCTGGTGCAATTTAGACTTCATTGTTGAAATAACCTTTGAAATCAGATAACATTTTATTTTAAGATACATTTGGGGTATTCACTAAACTTTATACATTTTGAAAATACATTTTTGTAAAATATTTAAATTTATAAGAAAAAAATGGGGACTGTATATAAAAATCTGCTTTTTTGCATGGGCACATCTGAGTTCTAGGTAATTTTGTCAAATACTAGCCCCTGATACTCTTAGTATTAAGAGTGCAGATTTAAAAACTTCTGTTGTATACCATCAAATTATATGTCATCTGCTGCTTAAGTGTGAATTGAAATTTTCAAGTGGGAGGAAGGGGTGGGAAATGTGGCTAAGGAGTTTATTAAATGGACACTTTACTGACCAAAACCAGAGGTTTTGTGTTTTCTTTTAAATACTGAGATACCAACAGACCAGAGCAAAATTTTTTGCAGAATAGTAAATTCTGATCTCCATATTCTTCAAAAGTGTCTTTGGGGCTTTAAAATAGTGAGTTCAAATTTTTTTTCTGACTACTTATCCTGGTCTGCTGCTCTTTGACAGTACTGCCACGGAGGAGGGGGACAGTACAAGGAGGAAGGTGTTCTGGAATGGTGTTGGTTTTGTCTGTACCCTATTCTTTATGGACAGTGAATGTTATTAGGAACTTCCACTCTTTAAGGTGGCACATCACAAGTGGGAAATGAGCAGCACCTGCAGTGGCAATTCTGAAGTATTTGAAGTAGCACTGACCCTGTGTTGGACTTTCCCTGAGGCCAGCAGAGGCCAACATTTGATAAGAGAGGAATCATTCCTTTGGACTCAGATGCTTTTCTGTTGCTAATTGCTACCCTTCAGGAGTATTTCTCAAAGCAAGGCAGGTTTCAGGACCATTGCAATCCAGATGGTTAGTACTCCTGCTTGTACCAGATCTGCTTGCCAAAGAACAGTCATCCTGACAGTGCAAAACTGAAGCTTTTTGTCTCTTTCAGTTTGGGTGCCTCTTGGACTTTGAAAAGAAAATGCCTTCCCCATTGAGAAACCTCCCTGTAAGTAGCAGATCTCCCTAGGCCTAGATTAAATAGGAGACAACTGTAGTTTAGTGATCACATAGATCTGTGCTGTTAATGCTCCTCATTCTGTTGTGTAGTTGTTCAGAAGAAACTATCAGGATCTTGATTAGTTGCTCTTAATGGTGTGTATTCTGAAGATAAAAGGATACTTCAGGGGTTTTGAGAGTGTTCACATGTACAAAACTCTGCTAAAAATTTTTGGTATGTGATGGGGAGCACATCTTCTAGTTCACGTCTTCGGAACCACCCCCTTGAAGCCAGACATTTTATGGCACAGAGAAAACTGTGATTTCAGTATTAAGCCATGACAGATAAGGAGTTATTAACTCAAAGTTACCATCCTACTGCAAAACTTTTTCTGGAGCACAGGTAGAGCATCAGCACATCCTTTCTAAAGATTAAGATTTTTAGTAGCTTTTCAAGTTGTTTATTACAGAGTTCTGTTAATGTAGCCATTTTAGTTGTAGAGCTTCCCCAACTCTGGCTACCAGAAAATCAAAGGAAATTCAACAAAATACCCAAACGTGAGATTCCCAATGTGTAGACTAACTGAATAATACTGGATTATGTGATCCAATATAACTCTTAAAGCAATTGAAAGAGTTAAGAGGGAACAGCCCTATGAAGAATTAATTGCAAACCTTTAATCCTTTTCCAAAACAACGCTTACCAGAAGTAAGAATAATGTTTCACTAGTTCTTGTGAACTCCTTTCATGTAAATGGGACAGATCCAAATAAAAATGAAAAACAAAAGCAGTAAATAAAACCAACATGATTATCAAGCCTGTCCCATTATTAAGTTTTCCTTATAAAACTATTTCAGAGTTGTGCAACTCAAAATTTTTGTAATCACCATATAATATCTGCCATTTGTTTGAAAATTACAGAGTGACTTTGTTTTTCAAGCTGTGTTTTTATTAGTTATGATGCAAGTTAATGTTGCAAACTACTTAGAATGTATTAAAGTTCTGTCTGTTAGCAGGGTACACTGAAGTTTAAAAACAGTCCTCCAGTATGACTCATGCTGCTTTAGTAACTGCCTGTTCAAAGTTTTTCCCCCGACATTTAATAAACCAAAAAAAATTCAGCTAGCAGCAGAGCAGGCTTATTGGACACCTTTTTAACCCAAGAATCAGTGCAGACTGGAATTTAGACATGTACAAACAAAAAAATTATCTAGAGAAACGTCTCAGAAGTGTTCCTGAAATTGCTGAGATGACCTGGGGGGTACCATGAAAAGCAGTAACTAGACAAAAAAGAAGACAAGAGGTTACTTTGTCTTGGCACAAGTATAGGCATGAAAAAAAAATTGTAAGTAATAATGATTGACACTTAGCACTAAGGAAAGTAATTTTTTTTTTTTTTCTACTCAAAGTACAGTTCATTTAATCAGAACCAGTGTATCTGCAACAAGCAAGTGAATAGTGGCTACATGACCTTACCAGCATTGCTGGAGACCACTAATTGTTTGTCGGCCAAATGAAAAACAAGCGTTAGCTGTAACTACAGAAAGTTTATAGGGAAAGTTATTAGTTTTGGTCAGACCAACGGGGCTTTGGCTGCAAAAAGAACCATGAGTTTAATTATTTTAATCAGATAATTTTAGAGATGCTTTCAAGGGGACAGAGAAGGATGTTAGTGCCTCTTGCATGCAAGGTTATGCCCCATTACTGCCCATGAAAAGGTGAAAAATTTAGGAAGTGGGCATAGAGATAATCGTAACCTGGCATAATACCAGTATTTTTAATGAGGGCATGATTTTTAACTCCCAGCACAGTTCATTCCTCCTTCAAGTTTGCAGGGGTCTTGTTTGAGCCATGGGGGCTTGTCAAGTCTGGGTGGAAAGATTCGGTGAAAGACAGCAGCACCAAAAAGGTAAAGAGAAACTACATTTTCCTGATTTGTCCTTCGTGGAACATTACATGCCAAAAAGCAGTCCCTGGTGTGCCTCATGCTCACAGCTTTTTCTACCACACTCCACAGAGACTGTGATTCTCCACAGCCTCATCATATATGCCAGAAAGAGATCTTTGCCTCATGTTTCCTGCCGAAAACCAGGAGACCATTAACCACAAGCTGTTGGTTTACCGCCCCATAAAAGCTACACCAGTGAGGCCAGTCAGGCTGAGCAGCAGAAATACCAACAATATAAGCCCTGTGCACGCCCCGAGCCTTGCGGGCAGAGGGGTGAGGTGCCCTGTGGCAGCTCCAGGCCCTACAGTAGCTGCAGGTGATTGAAGCCATCCCAGGCAAAGCCCTGACTGGTGAGGGGACAGTGTAGGCCCTGCTGTGGCCAGGATGCCTGGCAGGGCCATGAGGCAGGGCATGGCAGGACAGTGTGGCCAGCCGGGGCTCGCAGAGCCATCCCCAGAACCTCTCTGCGGCTCCTGATGACTGGGCAGATGCTCCCCGCTTCCCTGCCGTGGCCGTTGCAGGTGACTTCTTTGCCTCCATTATTTGTGAAGGTAGGAGATGGCCAAGTCCTTGCAAAAGCTGTTCAGAAGGAGCCAGGACACACTGAAAGAACAAATAGAAGAGAGAAACAAGAAATGAACAGGGCTGGGGAAAGCCTATGAGCCCTCTATGAGCGCCAGCAGCACAAGTTAGATGCTTTGGTTTCCTGTGTCACAGTTGGTCCTGAGCTTATTCTTTCTAACTTCCCACGCATAGCAATGGATGGTTCTCCTGCAGCCAGCGGGCTTGTGCCACTGAAGAGCATGCAAGCCAACCACAACAAAGCTCTAGCCCTGGCTTTGCGGGAGGAGAAGCTCAAAGTGAGAAAAGCCTGAGATGCCTTTGTGTTTGAAGGGATTTCACATCTTTTATTTACAAACACTGCTTCAGTTGCAGCAAGGGCAGGTGCCTGCTGAGGTATTTTGAAACACCATCTTTGTCTTGCAGTAATAGGGAGTGTCAGAATTGGCTCTAGATAAGCCTGAGGTCTCTTTCTGAACTTTAGTGGCTCCTGACAAGTCAGTTAGCTACACAGGAGAGGCCTTGTTGGGTTTCCCCCAGTTCTAGTCATTAGTACATCCTATTTTTTGCTGCTTCTTTAAGGAGAGTCAGTGCTCTCCTTTTAATGGATAGTTTGTGACACCTAATTTACATATAGTTCAGTTTTCTTATAACATGACTGTGAGATATGTATATGCGGAGCTGAAAATAACTCACCAACATGGTTTGCACTGTTCAATACACAAGTGTGTCAGCCTTGTTTGAGGGCCTGTCTTCAGAAGCTCCTTGGAAATTACTGTAGTCATTTGCTGGGCCAGAAGGGTCTCAGGGGGTTTGTGATGATGTGGCATCCCACCCTTCCATCTTTGGTCTGGACCTTTACTTCTGTCTGCCAGGGAGGCTTCCGTTTTCTGAGTTTTCCCCTCCAAGTACCTCCATTGCTTTCTCCCTGCAGACATCCACACGATTCACCTGTGGAGGGAAAGGAGAGGGCTCTAAGCTTGGCAGAATTTGCGTTTCTCTTCTCTCCTGCTGCTAGTCTTCTGAAGCCTTGCTCTCCTGGAGACGATCAGTCTTGTTTCAGCTGTTTAATCACAGTGAAACCTTTCTTGTTGGCAGAATATGGGAACGTTCCCTTCACTGCCTGTAATGGTTCCTGTTACCACTCGACAAGAGCATTGTGTGTAAGTAGCTCTGACTAATTTGTCTTGTCACTTCTCTTACAATTTTCTTTGTAAAGAAGGGGGAAGGCGGATGTAACGCAAGAGAAATAATTCCTTGTTCTAAAGGCAATGTATTTCCCCCCTCCCTAGGGAAGCTCACAACATATTGTGGAACATGAAGAAATCCCTGAGAGTGAGACAAAGGCCCCAGCAGGTGGCAGTAAGCCATCTGGCTGCATTTCAGAGGACTGCTGTGAATCTGCCAGTGCTGGTGCCATAAAGGAACTAGACCCAGAGTGTGGTAAGGAAATCTACAGGGCATTCCTCCCTCCTGAAATAAGGAGAAGGACTGTGTGCCTGTATCTGCATCATGAATACTCCTTTGTAGTAATAGTGTGATAATACATGAGAATAGAGAAATTCTGTATCGTGGTAGCTGTGGTTGTAGAAGCTGTGGTGAGGAGCAGACTTGAATATCAGCAAAGGCTAAAGGTTTGAGTGAAGATGCCTGGCAGAATGGGGAATGAATTTGAAAGGTCTGACTCTCGTATCCCTGCCTCCTTGTGACCTTCCTACTGAAGAGCTGACTAGAAAAATCTTTTTTTGTGCCCTTGTTAGTGTTTATGATGAGCAGCTTTTTCAAAGTCCAATATTTGAAATTACAGAATAGATATGAGCCACAGCTCATATTTTCTGGAG